AAGCGCTTGTCTCTCTCTCTCGCTGTGGGTTCACACACACACACACACACACACACACAGAAGAACACGTCCACACACACACACACACACAAGCAAATATTCTCCACCTGGGAAACTCCTCACCAAAGTGGAAATGGAGAGCGTTTCCACAGTGAGACAAAAAAGACCACATGAATGAACATGATCCAGGAGTCTACCCCCTTGAAGGATGACGAGGCTGTAATTATTAGCTTAGAGTGAGTCACCTTGTATCATGTGCTCCAGAGAAGAGTGATACAGTTTGTCACGTTTCATCACATGAATGAACTTCGCAGGATGGCGCTCATTCAAAACGATATAAGGTTTGAAAGCACAATGGATTATTGTCGATTCATCAGCAGGCATCTGCTGACTCATCCATATTGTGTGAACATTTTGGACTGATGCCAGGCTATTAACGAATCTAACAAGAGGTGCATTGTTTACGATTATATCAAACATGTGCATTGCTGGGACACTTTGTTGTTTTAATAGTGGGTCTACACATAAGGCCTACCAAATCTAACCACAGGGTGGAAATCTTAATGTCATAGGTCTAATTTTACTGACTACTTTTAGTGACTGCGCGTAATTTCTCTGGATGTACAACTGGTTACCTGTGCAGGTGAGAGCAACAGCGCAGTCTGTCGCTGCAGCAGAGAGAGGGCTTCTGCTGGAGGCGACAAGGAATTTAAAGATTTGATTTGCACATAACAGCAAAAGCAGATCTCTGCACAATGCAGAGAGATATATGGTAAAATGGCTGACCAGTTAAATGCAGACATGTCCCATTTAAATACTTAATGTGGCCATGACTGCGTGTCCACTGCTCCGATATGACGGCCAGTCTGTTATATGCGTAACTGGGAATGCGGGGCACAGCCGCGTCCTCTTACTTCATATAATCTCTGCTCTGTAGGTAAGTGAAGCATGAGAATATTCAGCAAACTGGTATCTCTGTATGGTAGCCCATTACTCTTAGTTCTACTGCCATTATTCTTAGTTTTTCTTTGGAGCTTTGCCTCAGTTTTAGTTTTTTCTGCGCAGCATTACAGCACTTCTCTTCCTACAAATAATTATGTAACACATTTCAGCAACTGATTAAGTGCAGCTGTTGACAGCTTGAACATTTATCACTTGTGTATGTCCCTGATCAGAATCGGCCAGTTGCTTCTCAGTTAAACTGTTCACATCATCACTGACATCAGTTTGTGCAGCTGTTAAAAGGCGTCAAGCTCTCAGCTCTGAATTCCACAGCGATGCAGTCGTGTCACAAAGGATTCCCGCCCCTTCGCTCCTTGCAGGTTCCACGTGCATGTTTTCAGTTTCAATATAAATTTACAGCAGTCAAATGTGCATAAACTGTAGAGGATCCTTTCTGAAGCGACTGGGGCCTGTAAATTCTGCTAAAGTGATAACTTGGCCTCAGTATTGTCTATTTTCTTTAAATTCATGTCTTATTATAATCGTTCTGATGTCAGCGAGTCACTTCCTGCTTGGAGACCCTTTAAATCTGTAAAGTTATCTTGTTTACACTGAATATGCGTGGGAACTAACCTGCTCCCGAGTAGGTTTGAGATTATAGACATGTTGCTATGAGAACAAGTCCTGATAGACTTTCGATGAACCAACAGATCTGCGATAATGTGAACGTGTGAACCAAGTTGTTTCATTCTTCGACACTGACCATGTTCGCATTTGTTACTTGACAACTTTCTTTGTACTGCTCATGTTGTATCATCAGTGTGGCTTTGATACTTCTGTCCAAATGATGACACATTCTGACACACAGCTGAGTGTACATTATACAGAAAGTAATGAATGAAACCAAGTCTATGACTCAGTAGTTTTGTTCGATATCCAAGCATTTCCTTAATGTGCACTAGTGAGTAGTGTGTAATTTCACATAGCTACAAATCTGATGGTATGATGATGATGGTATTTGAAAATATGACTCTCGGGGGCACCCTCGTGGCCATGTGGATGTGGAAACCTGGTTCACTAGGCTTTTAGCAGCAGGAGCACAACCACACACTCAAGTTTATTCTGAATTTGTAGCCTGTTTACACTCAGTTGCCTTTTCTGTGTCAACCTACAGTCACTTCACACACAAACAGAAAACCAGGAGCCTCATTTTTTGAGCCCCAGATTCCAACATTTGGCTTTGAGTTTTCAGGGTCCAGGGTTTAACTTCAGCCTGATGTGTTCTCAATGTTCAAAGTGATCACCACTGTCTGTCTGTACCTGTCAGGGGTGTGTTACCTTGTTCCTTGGCTAGTCTGAGGTCAGAGGTGGAGTCTGGCAGGTCAGGTGGAGAATGAGTGGAGGCCTTCTCAGTGCTGTTGGTTTTGGCCTTAGTTTGAGGGTGTTGGAGTCTGGAACCTCGACGCAGCAGTTGCAGGGACAATTTGGTCAGAGACTTCTTGGCCTGAAGTAGCAAACTGAGCGTGCTCAGACTGCTAACAAAGGGCGGCAGGTAGGGCAGCGCCACACCTGCTCCAGGTACCACTACTCCTCCCCGCCCGCTCAGCCAATCACGCACCACCTCCTGGGGCTCGAGGAACATGAGGGAGGGGTCAAACTGCAGCGCCTCTGTCCTGAGGGGAGGGGGCTTGTCAGGGTCCACTTTGACTGTGTCCTCATAATGCGGGACAAGATTGGGGGTAGGCTGGGGGAGACAGGAAAAGAGGAGGGGGAAGCTGGGGTTTGGGACACGATGCAGGACAAATTTTGGGGGGCGGGAGTTAGAGGGGCAAGTGGATAGGGCAGGAAAAAGGCATGGTTGTTTCTGATTGGGGAGGTTTTTAGGAACAGACACAGTGGGCGGTTTAGGTGTGATGGATGTGTGATGTGCAGGGGGAGTAGCTGGTGGGTGGTTTGAAATGTTCCTGGGTGGTGGCGAGAGGGGGGCACTCGGAACCAACACCAGCTGCAGCCCTTTGGGCGAGGCTTCTGCCAACTGGACTAGCCCATCAGGAGTCATGACCCAGATTGACTGACCAGAATGTAAAGACATCCCTTGGAGCTGAGTAACCTGCTGTGTCTGAGCGACAGCTTCCTCTTTGGAGCACAATGTACGAGAGCGCTTCTTACAAGGAGAAGAAGTAGCTCTCTTCTTCTTGGCTTCAGCCTGAAATGAAAAAGCAAAAGGTTATACAGAGGGGGAAAAAGACAAGAAAGCGGTTTTTCCATTATAGGAACCCACTGAAACGTGTCACGCAAAGCAACGCACATCACGGGTTCTGCATTTGTTTCCCCGCTTTGGAGGTGCATTCTGGGATCTAAATTTCAGCGCCCCTCAGGAGATAGCACTAAAAATCACGTTCCAGGAATGCGGGAGGGAGGGGGTGTGTGTGCTCAGAGCAGTCGCCGTGTTTGGTTAAATGTCCACTCTTCACACCTCAAGCATTAGCAGTACAAGCACCACATGTGAAGAGGCACTCATGGCTTGTTAGGCTCCGATAGTGGAAAAGCAGCAGGGGAAGACAAGGGGGGACAGGTGTTACCTTTGCCTGAAGAGTTTCCTGCAGAGCTCTGGCCCTCTGACTGGGCTTCCGAACCCTCTTTTCTTTCTGGACCACACTTGTACCAGTACCACCTCCACATTGGTCATCCTGACTGCTCACTACCGTCTGCTCCTCCCTCCTCCCTCTTTTCCTCCCTCTAGGTTGATGTGGGGGGGGTTTGTTGGAGTCAGATTCACAGTACGATGGACTTGGTTGGTTGGGGGCTGGAGATGGATGACTTGAGTTGGAGCTTTGTTGACTCGGGGTGGGGGAAAAATTAATGAAGGTGTAGTCACGTTCTCTCGGGACAGCACCAGACAGGTTTGAAGTAGAGGATACATTGTGCCGACTGCCTGGTAGGGAAGGAGGTGGGGCTGGATGGAGGTTTTGAGTTTCAGATACATCATAAGAGGAAGGTGTGGCGTCCAGGGTTGAGACGGGCCCCACAGGGACAGGAAGGATGTTCAGTCGGAGAGAAGCAGGAGATGCCCTAGGAGGCGTGGTCAGGGATGAGGACTGAGGTAGGAGCTGGATTGACGGCATGCAGAGCTGAGGAGGGAGGAGGGCAATAGTCTGAGGGTTTGAGGTCTGGCTCTGAGAAAGAAGCAACAACCAAAATCAAGTCACACCCATGATCTAATTAGGATTAGGTCTATAGTGCCATGAGGCAGTGACCAAGGTATTACAAATGGTAAATGGTCTTATATTTGCATAGTGCTTTTCTATGCACTGCAGCAGACTATTCTCACTTCCAAGCACACACGTACACACACACACCCATAAACAACTGGGGGTGGCTGCTGCTCAGGAGGTAGAGTGGGTCGTCTCCTAATCAAAAGATTAGCAGCTCGAGTCTAGTCCACATGAGCAAAACACTGAACCCCCAGCTGCGCCCGGTGATGACGCCGGTATGTGAATGTGTGAATGCGAATGACCAAGTAGTGAGAAAGCACTTTGAGTGCGCTGTGATGCGTAGAAAAGCGCTATACAAATATAAGACCATTTACACACACTGGTGATATCACTGGGAGCAACTTGGGAATTCAGTGACTTGTTCAAGGACACTTCAACAGATGAACTGGAGAAGCCGGGAATTGAACTGCCAACCTTCCGGTTAGAGACGACCTGCTCTACCTCCGGTGCCACACATGCCCCAGATGTGCACAACTAACAAGTGATGGCCTACAGAGCACCTGCAAACAAATGTTCTGAGGATATTCAGTGGCCTGTGAGAGAACTTTCAGTGGATATTATATCAAATGACATCCTTGCAAGGATTTTCTTAGGGCCCCTAAAAGGCATTGTGAAACCTTTCAGATGCCTCACAAACCTTCAGAAGATTTTTTGGGCACATTTGGAGCACCTTATCGCCCAGTGTTGAGGCCTTTCTTACATAAGTCATACAAGTCTTCCTTGTGTGTTAATACTGATGGATTCTAAAAAACATTTTAAAAATTTCTAGTGACTAACAAATTCAAAACAAACTATTTCAGCTGTTATGTTCCTTCAGCAAATGTCTCATCAAACCTAAGTGACACGTACTGAACATGGACAGGCAACATTCCAGTGTAGGAGTAGTGGGTGGTGTCTGGGGGAATCAGTAATGACCCACAGTTCATTTCTGCACCTGAGCCCACCAAGAGGTTAAATCTGACTGAAAGCCGCACTTTGAGGTTTGATGATTAAGTCGATTATGTTGTTTTCACATCAGTCCTCTCATGATGAGTATTCCTAAAACAAACAAACAAACAAACAAAAAAACCTACCTTGGCTTCACCGCCTTCCTGCACAGCATTGGCCTTTTCCACACCTGTATCTGCCCCACCAAAATCCACTTGACTGCTACAGACAGCTTCTCGACTGTCTCTCTGCTCCCTCCCTCGGTGTGGATCCAGGGTGGAGCTTGCAGAACTAGAGGAAGGGCAAAGCCGGCTGGAGCTGGTGTCAGGGGTACTGGATGTGGAGGGAACAGTGTGTCGATTGGCCAGTGTGGAGCAAATAAAAACAGCCTGGCTAGGAGGAGAGGGCAGCGCTACTTTGAGATTTTGAGGCAAAGGTAAAGCATCTTGGTGGAATGAGGTGGAGTTGGCAGGTGACACAGGAGATGCAGGTCCCTGAGCGGTGACGTCTCCTGTAGGAGGAGGTTTCTGTGGAGATAAAGGGAATGTTCTCAGGGAGGAGGGAGGAACAAGTTGGATGGATGCAGTCTGCTGAGGTTGCACAACAGGAAGGAAGACAGCCTGAGGAAGTGAAACAGGATGCATGTTAGGAAGCATCTGAGGAACCATGCTAGGATGACTCTGAGAAGGAAGAGGCTGTGGTTGCTGTGTCCGGACAAACTGTTGTCTGAACAGCAGCAGCTGTTGCTGTGCCTCTTGTTTCTGCAGCACCTGAAGCTTCTTCAGGATCAAATTATCCTGCAGGTTCCTCATCTTCCTCTGCTGTAGAATTTCTGCAACGGTCTGTGGATTCGTCTTCCACACTGGGCAGGCCTCCGGGGGCATCAGTACCCTGTCCCTCCTCTGTTCTATCATCTCCTTGCACCCCATGGTATCCACGTTCATGGCCTGAAGGAGGAGGAGAAAGACAGGAGTTGAGGACAGCCTGGTCTTCTTTCCTCGCTCCCTCAGGGCATCTGCCACCGTCAGTCTAGATTTTTCTGGGATCAGCAGGTTGCCAATCCATGGTGTCACTGCAGCTTGCAGCTCGTAGCTCAAACTCAAGTCCGCTGCGCGGCCTGGGTGGTTCTGTTTGCCAGTCTGGCACCTCCCTTTGGGGCGGGAGTTGCGGTTTTTAAACTTACGTGCCTCGCGGTGCAGGTGGGCTCGGAGCTGGTCAGGTGACACCATCATCATTGTGCTGCTGCTGTGGCGTTCCTCCCACTGCAGCTCCTGGGGACAAGGCCCAATAATCACAGAGCATCCAAACTCCCCCAGGATGGTTGACCGGACCGGATGCTCATGGTGCGCGTCACTAGAGGAAGAAGGCAATGCCACTGGACGAAAGCTCAGGAAGGTAAAATGTTGTGCTTTATCTGTCGGAACCCACTCTTCCATTGGAGGGAAGGTGTACTGCTCCTCCCCCTCCTTAGTCTGCTCCACTTTGACTTCCTCCTTCGGTTTCTTCTTCTTTTCTTCATCACTGTCCATGTACTCCACCACCATGTCATCCTCCTCACTGCTCTCCTCTTTCACGTTCATCACTTGCCTTCCAATTCTCTTCTTATTCTTGTTCAACCCTCCTTCTCGACTCTTTGGTGGTTTCTTAGCTCTTTCATTTTTCTGTTATGAGAAAGAGAGAGTCAGATCAGTCATGGTCGGTTCTCAGCAGGTTCTTGTCTGTGGGTAATGAGGAGGAATCAACAGCATTTCCCTATGATGCCTTTATTAATTCTATCTGCCATGCAACCATAAATTGCCATAAATTGTCCTGATTAAGTAATATAGAACCAAGGGAGGGTTGAGTGTACCTGAGCGAGAGCCCTGCTCATTTTCCTCCATTCCCTCAGACACTGAGCATCGTAACGGTGAGGTATCTCAGCAGCAATCTTGGCCCAGCGACCTGAAACAGGGGCAGGAGATATGAATAACATCCAGGAGGTGAGGACGACGGAGACTTAAAGCTGCTGACTGAAGAACAGAGTTCGCACATGTGGACAGGCCTCAGAACATCAACAGAACCAAACTGTGGCCTGAAGGCTAAAATCTGGCTAAAAGAGACTGTGACCAAAATGTCGCAAGGTTATTTTCCCACCCCAGATCTGTTGTCAGAGCTCCAAGCTCTGCGTCAAATTCAGATCAGTGCCTTTAAAATGCAGCTCAGGAAATGCCTGTGCACATCTAGGTTTGTGTAATTTTCTGTTTCCTTTTATTTTATGCTGGCTTCATTCTTAGCTGTATTATCTCTGTTGCCTTGTGACTCATGATGTTTGTGATGTTTCTGCTCCTCAAATGCAGTTTAATAGTTTCTAGTTAATCGTTACTTGTTAAAGGCTCCTGTCAGGCGTTTTCCCAAAATCACTGAAAACAGCAGTTGTCAAGTCCCGTCTAAACAAACCCAACATGAATCCTTCTGTTAAATAATTACAGACCAATCTCTAATCTTCCTTTCATTGGAAAAGTTATTAAGAAAGCAGTTTTGATTCAGCTGAACAACCTTTTAAATATAAACAGGCATAAGAATCCAAAGAAGCGGTCAGCTGGTAGAACCTCGGGTCAGAACCAAACAGGTGAAGCTGCTTTTAGCTGCTATGCTGCACACAGGTGGAACCAGCTTCCTAATGACCTTAGATGGGCCCCAACTCAGACACTTTCAAGTTGCAACTGAAAACTCTGCTGTTTCCCTGTGCCTCTGTTTGACTGGCTTCTATGCTGCACCGTAACAGCTTGATTTCAGTTCAGACCTTTTATTTTGTCTATTTTTATTTTATGTATTTTATCTCACTTTAACAATGTTTTATCTTCAATTTGTCTTAACTCTTTTTATTCTAGTTTAATACTTAGTTGTTCCTTGCCTCTGTAAAGCACTTTGAATTGCCTCTGTGTAGGAAACCTGATATACAAGTAATGTTGCCTTGCCTTACTTACTCCTTCAACCTTAGATTTATTGCCAAATTAAAATCATTCCTGTTGCACCACATGCTTTTAATTAACTGCTTCTTCACTTGTTAATTTGAGGATTATGAATTTCTCTTCAGTGATTTGTTGATCCAGAACTTTACTTTCTGCCTCCAACAGTCACATGCTCAGTGCTGGAAGAAGTACTCAGATACTTTACTTAAGTAAAAGTAGAAACACCACATTGTGGAAACTCACTGTTACAAGTTAAATGTCCTGCATTCATAAGGTTACTTAAGAAAAACAACAAAAGTATTAGCATGAAAATATATCTGAAGTACCAACAGTAAAAGCTGTCATTCTGCACAACCACATTTCACATTAATGTGATACTACTGGATCATAGTGATTGATGCATTATTGTGTTCATCAATGTTGCAGCTGGTAAAGGTGGAGCTAATGTTAATTACCTACCAAGTAAAGCACAAGTACTTCACACTTGTAGTTAACTACTTGAGTAAATGTATTTGCACCGCTGCATCTCATTCTCATCTGAGGATGTGCACAACCAAAGATGACAGGACAGTTAAAAACAAGGATATCAGTGAGTTTAGGAGGCAATTCTGGTGACGACTACAGTACCCATAAGCCTCAGTATCAAGGCTCTTGTTATTTGTCATACCCACCAACTCCATGTTTCTCCACCAGATGCAGCAACAGCTCCTGCTCCTGTTTGTCAAACCCTCCTCTCTTTGTTCCCGCCCTCAGACAGTCAACATACCTGCACACATACAAATACAGAGGTTTACGGAGAGGGAGACAGCCAGTCAGACCTTAACTCTCTAACCAGTCATCCAGTCAGATCTCACCTGTCTCTGCAGGCACCGTCGGTGCGTCCAGGCACCTCCAACCGGACCCTCCACCAACCCTTCTCGCCATAAAGAGACACAGCTCGCAGTAACAGCTGAGAGACAGACAGGCAGGCAGAGGTTGATAAAACATCACTAGTCCTGTCTCCTGGACACCGGAACAACAGAGTCAGGCTGAGAAACACCTTTCACACCTGTAGACATCATGCTGCTACCTGTGGACATCTCTTTCTATTGGAAACCTCAAGTGCCTGCCAAAGAATCTCTTATTTGGCCTTGTTGATGAGATTCAGGTGAGATGACTGATCCCACACTCACAAAGCAACAGAACCACAAAACCACTACTGTAGATGTTCTGATAGGTGGATGTACAGTGCCTATAAAAGGTACTAACCCCCTTGAATGTTTTTCCCTTTTATTGGTTTTATAAATTAATCAATATAAATTTGGCTTTTTTGACAACAAAAAAAACTTACAAAAAAAACTCTTTTATGTCAGAGTGAAAACAGGTTTGTACAAAGTGATGTCAATTAAATCCATCTTCATCCACTTCATCCGAGACTGGGTCACGGTGGCAGTTGTACAAGCAGAGCTTCCCAGACTTCCCTCTCCCCGCACACCTCCTCTAGCTTCTCAGGAGGAACACCAAGGCATTCCCAGGCCAGCCGGGAGACAGTCTCTCCAACGTGTCAATTAAATAAAAATATGTAATGTGATAAGTGATTGCATACTCACCCGCTTCAGGTCAGTAATTAGTTGATGCACCTTTGGCTGCAGTCACAGCACTGAGTGTGTGAATAGGTCTCAGTCAGACTTGCACATCTGGACACTGCAATTTTACTCCATTCTTCTTTGCAAAACTGCTCGAGCTTGCCCTAACCCTAACCCATCCCCAGGTTGCACGGAGATCAGGCGTGAACAACCCTTTTCAAGTCCAGCCACAAATCCTCTATTGGACTGAGGTCTGGGCTTTGACTCGGCCGCTCCAGAACACTCACCTTGTTGTCTCTAAACCATTTCTGCGTAACTTTCGCTTCAGGTCTTAGTCTTGCTGGAAAATAAATCTTGTCCCAAGCCGTAGTTCTCTTGTAGACTGAATAAGATTGTCCTCCAGGATTAGGGTTATTATATTTTGCCGCATTTTACCCTCCACCTTTACAAGCCTTCCAGGTCTGGCTGCCGAGAAGCATCCCCACAGCGTGATGCTGCCACCACCGTGCTTCACAGTAGGGACAGTGTGTTTGTGGTGATGTGCAGTGCTTGGTGTCCACCAAACATTGCATCTTGTAGCCAAAAAGCACCATTTCTGGTCTCATCAGACCAAAGAACTTTCTTCCACTTGACCATAGAGTCTCCCACATGCCTTCTGGTGAACTCTAGTCGAGATTTAAAATGAGTTTTCTTCAACAGTGACTTTCTCTTTGCCGCTCTCCCATAAAGCTTTGACTGGAGAAGAACCCAGGCAACAGTTGTATGCAGAGTCTCTCCCATTTGGGCTGCTGAAGCATATAACTCCTTCAGAGTAGTCATAGGTGTCTTGGTGGCCTCTCTCACTAGTCTCCTTCTTGCACAGTCACTCAGTTTGTGAGGACGGCCTGATCTAGGCAGATTTAGACATGATTCCTTCCATTTGTTGATGATGGATTTAACTGAACTCCAGGGGCTGTTCAGTGGCTTGGAAATTTTTTGGTATCCATCCCTGACTTATACTTTTCAATCACACTTTCTCCGAGTTGCTTGGAGATGTTCTTTTGTCTTCATGGTGTAATGGTAGCCAGAAATACTGACTAACCGGTGACTGGACCTTCCAGACACAGGTGTTTTTATACTACGATCACCTGAGACACATTCACCGCGCTAGGGCGATCCCAGTTTCTCTATCTGTGAGACTACTAGCACCAATTGGCTGGACCTCTGTTAAATTAGGTCCGTCATTTTAAAGTAGGTGAATATTTATGCAATCACTTATCACATCACATATTTTTATTTGACATTACTTTGTAGAAACCCGTTTTCACTTTGACAAGAGTTTTTTTTGTACGTTTTTTTGTCAAAAAAAGCCAAATTATATCGACCATGATTGATTACTAAAATCAATGAAAGCTGTGGGCATGTCGTCCATCACTAGGAGGCAAATAAGCAGAAATGTTACAAACTACCCCTTTAAGTTCAGACTCAGACACAGTTCTGCTTGTTCAGCCGTGTGCATGCAGGCATCACGCAGACACTGATGTGTGGCCGCAGCAGTAACTAACAGTAAATCTGGGTCCAGTGGATTTGGTTCCTCTGAGTTCAGGACCATTTTCATGTGGATCCCGGAGGGCTCTGCCTCCCGGGTGTTTATACTTCAAGTGAGGGTGTACAGCATCTAACCAGGTATTTAGTGCTCCTTACTAACACTCTAGTTATTGTTATCTGTTCTGCAGGTGTGTCCTGTCAAAGCCCCACCCCCCTTCCCACCTGGTCTTCCTCTTTGGTCCACGGTCCTTTCTTCAGGCTCGGGTCCAAAACCTGGTTCCACCTGTAGATCAGCTGAGCAGGGTCCCGACCCTCCATGAAGTAACTAACTGAGTGTCAGACAGGTGGGGGAAGAGAGACACACACACAGGTTTACAGATGAGCTGTTCTGTAACTGCAGACGACAGACTGTCAGGATGTAAAAACAAGTTATTGTTATTTATCAATCACACCCAAATGGCGTTATGTCGTTACTCTGTGTGTAGGGGATGAAGTTTCCGATCCGCATCTTGTCCATGAGCTCTCTGAGCAGAGCGTCTTCATCCGGAGTCCAAATGCTGCGTCTCAATGAGTCTGAGACGAAACGCTGGAATGTCTGAAGACACATGAAGGCTGTCCTGCCCGTCTGAGAGACAGGGAGGTGAGACAGGCACAGGTAAAAGAGAGACAGGTGGGAGAGGTAAGAGACAGACAGGTCAAGCACAGAACTGTCTGACATAAAACGCTGGAGAGTTACATGAACGCCATCCTCCCTATCTGAGACAGATATCAAATAGACAGATGGGTGGATGGGGACAGGTGAGACAGACAGACAGGTGAAGACACCTCCTCACCCCAAGCTTCTGGGCGATTGTCTCCCAGTGTCTCTCTCCATGCCTCCTGCTGACCTCCTTCAGCTGCTCCACCTCCCCCTGACTCCACCGAGACTTATTGATGGACGGGTGGAGGAAGTTCTGCCAGAAACAACAAATGTCATCCGCATCCTTGGTCCCTTCAAACTGAGGGGGAGAAGAAGGAGGCGAGGAGGAAGGGTGAGAAGTGTAGGAGAAGGGGTGAAGGGATCTTACTGACAGTCTGATGTACTCTGCTCACTCTCTGATTGGCTGACTTTCACACTTACATCAATATTTGAAATTTTCTGCCAATCATGTTCTTCATATCGATCACCAATCAGCTCCTCCTCCTTCTTCCCTCTGATCAATCAGAGACAGAGGACTTCAGCACACACACACACACACACACACAAATTCAGGTTCCTGTGAGAACCAGGCAACTGGTTTCTACATGGATTTCTAGAGGGACATCAGAGATAATGAGACCCTCAGGAACATGAACCTGAGCAAGTCGATTTCTCTCTCCAAACTGTCGATCTGCTCCCTGAGCTGCTGCCTCTCTGCCTCCTCTGCTGAGGACAGCTTCTGACTCAGAAAGTCCACCCTGAAACACAGACATTATATATACACTAACACATCCAGAAGTGAGTGAAATCATTAAATAAAACTTTAACAGCTGTGGTACAAATATACAACAACTGTTAAACTACATTTTTATTTTGTGACATCTGTGTTTAAACTGACATGTGCACACATGTACAGTGAGGAACAGAAGTATTTGAACACCCTGCGATTTTGCAAGTTCTCCCACTTAGACATCATGGAGGGGTCTGACAATTCACATTGTAG